TGTGCATGCATGCAGGAAAACACCAGGGACAGTAGTGGAAAGTTTCTGAGGTGTTTGAATGTATGCTACTTTCCACTGCTACTCCATTACCTTTATAGTTTTATACTGGTTTTAAATAGCATTTTTTATTGTGTTTCCGTGTCACTATTTCTTAATGTTTTTAATTTTTGTGAAGCACATTGAATTGCCTTGTGTTGAAAGGTGCCATATAAAAAAAACGTGCATTGCCTTATTTGACAGCTGTAGTTAACAAAATACTGAAAAACAGTTAACAAATAATATACACCATAAAAAAAGAACAAAACTATCCGAGTAAAAAAGTAATGTTGAAATATAAAGAAGAATACATAAATGTGACCACAATTTTTTTTTAAATGTATAGCAATTATACTTAAAGGTGGGGTAGGTACGTTTGAGAAACCGGCTCGAGATACACTTTTTGTTATATTCCATGGAATGCTCTTAACATCCCGATAGCAATGAATATCTTAAGTGCTTTGACAATAAATCCATTAAAACATTTAATCTGTGGAAGCCGTGGTACTGTAAAAAGCACGACCAATCATCTGAGCCGGCCCGGCTAAAGTAACTGGATGGCCTACCTGCCTATCAGCCTTCCATCTGTGCACAAACTTATCTCGTGCCGTCATTGGTCATGTGCGCGTTCGTGTGTGTTGGAGGAGGGGCTCTGTAAGGAAGTGGCAGATTTTTTCCGGCTGTGTATTTTCAAATTCTAACGCACTCGAGCTGGTTTCTCCAAAATTACCTACCCCACCTTTAAAGGTAGGGGTAGAAGGCTCGAACAAGGTCGGCTCAGATGATTGGTCGTGTTTTTTACAGCGCCACGGTGCTTCCACAGATGAAACGTTATGGTAGTTATTGTCAAAGCATTTGATTTATTCATTGCCTATCAGGGATGATTAAAGCATTCATGGAATATAACAAAAAGTGTTTCTGAAGTGAATTTACCTAGCCACCTTTAATTCGGTTTTAGTATGTAATTATTCTCAAAAACATTTTTTTTAGGCATGTAAATCCACTAATTTTTTAGGGTTCACACAAATGTATATATGCATGATTGAGTTAAAGTAATGATATGACATTTTAAATATATATATATATATCCATTTATTATATTTTCACCCTTTATTTGCATGTTATTAATTATAAATTTATAAAACACAAATATTATATTGTATTAATTATAAGGCATTTTCCTCTATTATGGGGCATTTGTTCTGTGTTTATTTATTTATAGACTATATAGATATCTCATAGATTAGTTATGCATATATACATTCTTCTACTTTAGAGAAGTATAGATGTAATTTATTTCATTTCTACCTTTTTCTTCATTTTTCCCTATATTGTCGCTATGCTATTGTTATAGTATAATGGACATAACTCGTTACAGGTAGGTACTTCTCTAGGGTGACTGTTGCTGCAGCCTGCGGAAGGAGTGGCGGTCGTCTCTCAACCAGAAGGTTGACTGGGTTCGATCCCAAGCCCATGCAGTCAACATTGGTGATGCGTGTCCTACCTTAACCCTGAGTTGCTCCTGATGGCCCAATGGCACCCAACAGCGGATGTGTGAGGTGTATGAATGTTAGTTCTAGAGTAAGGTACACTGACTGGCGTGATGACATGAGTAGTATGTAAGCCTTTGAGGCGGCATTAAGACTGGATAAAGACGCTATCTAATACAGCCTAGTATACCTAATACCAGTCCATTCATAATACTCTTACAAGTATTACTACCTAAATATAGCTGCAGTACTTAGCCCACCATATGTCAGCGAAAGGAGAAAAGAGAGGAAACATGAAATGGTTTGCAGAATCTGAACTCCTTTATCAGTATCATGTACCTGTGTGTGTTTTTTTATTTAGGTTTCAGTACGCAAAAACACATTCCGGTTTTGGTTTCATTTCTAAATTGTAGCTCGAGCATCAAGTTGAAGACCAAACCAAAACAAACCAGTGAACAAAGGAAAACCCAACACCAGAGCACGAAACACTCAACGTCTCTGCACTGACAGAAAGATAGAACTACAAGGAAGGATTTAGTATATTTATTAGCATTCATCAATATTAATTAAAACCTTTTTGGTACTGACGTATGCCTCAGACCCAGAGAGTCTTTTGCACTCCATTATATATTACAAAATAAAACACATTCTGCCTGTCCTTCCACCCTTCCAGGATCCAACACATTTTAAACTGCTGTAACGAACGAGACGGTGACAATGATCAAAGGTAACATACAATACCACCGTGAATTTAACTACACGTTAAATAACCATGTGACAGAACTCGTGAAATCATCAGACTAATCCATAAAACCAACAGACAATGTCATTTATTCACGAGCACATTTCACATTAACTCCGAGGACATTCAGCTAACCCGCGTCTTGTTAAAAAACGTCGAAACTACCCGCTACTCTGGTAGGTCAATACATGTCAGAAACGAGGAGCACACAAAATGCGACCATTGGAGCTCTCTTTGGGGAAACACAGAAGAACCTGAAGAAGAGCTCCGTGTCCACTATAACATCTTTTGCACATTGTGAAAACCTGCCTCCCAAGTCTCCTCAGGCACCGCTGGGACACCTTCAGCAAACTGGCAGTCCCACAGGTCTGCGACTTTCTCACTAAATTAGCGTCTTTAACTGAGGTCTTACCCGCCTACCTCCCTCTTTTCCGTCACACTCGTAATCGCTCCACACGAACTTCCTCCCCGAACGCACGCACAGAGTAACACAACGCATGCATCCGACCAAAGTGACCCTCGAACCAGTGTTGGAGTCTCGCTCTTTTGGGTGAAAACCACACGGAGTAGAGATCTCGATCGCCCTCTCCCACACTCTCTCGTCTCTCTCTCTCCTCTCACCTCTTCTCCGTCTCTCCGCTCTCTCTTTCCTCTCTCCTCTCTCTCCTCCAATTAAGTAAAGGCGGTATTGCTTAAATTAATAACATTTGCCAACATACATGCGAATAAACACCATGCGCATACATCTCTCACTCCTGATGTCTCTTCTCCGCATAAAAAACCTGGGTGTCCACAACGACTGCTATAGCGTAGATGACTCAAATCGTTGAGGAGTTGATGGCTCAGACAACCGGATACTAACTGTTCAGGAAATAAACGAGATGCTCCACTACCGTCGTCCACGGTCTTACTATCAACAGCTGAAGGATATTCATACTCGCTAGCCCGCCTCTCTTGCTAGCGCGCCTCTACCTCCATCCTTCCTCCCTCGATCATCACCACACATACACTCCAGTCTAACATCCCTCCCACTCACCAACAGCACTCTACACCATAACTCCTCCCAACAGCACACACCACCCCACCCCCCCCCCCACACTACCACCACGAACGCACAACTGTCACGCAAGCACCGGGGCAAACAACCACGCGTCCAACCTTTCTACTACAATCAACGTCGGTGGCAACGCCCTCAACACCGGTACCTCAGTTTTGTGCCAGTCAACCGTGAACAGCTTCTTCTCCTATCATGTGATAACACCACTGAATATGATGTTTATGAGGATTCACTCCTCGCTCACCTCCTCCTCTCAAATCTCTCTCATACTCCATGCCTTCTCTCACACTCTCTTCCCTCATCTCTCTCTCCTACATCATCTCTCTCCTCCTCTCTCTATCATCTAAATCAACTCAGGTGTGTCTATCCACCCGCGTGCCACACAAATATCGCGATAGACGATGCTCCATAGATGTCAGATGATTTGACAAGCAGATGCATATTAAGTCTGATTCTTTAACTGTGAGCACAAATGAAAACGACAACTGCACCCTGCACTATACGTCTGGCTCCGTTTCATATGGCATACACGAGAAGAGAAAGAGAAACACACCCATCATACTGAACGTAAAACATGGTCAGTGTAATGATTGAGAGCGCACCACACGACAGAACACCATGAGTGCTTTCTTTATTGTTATAGAGTCGCGATCTGGTCATGAACAAGTTTGCAATGACTAACACCTCGCGCTCGTGTGGATCTGTTAAGGCGGCAGAGCAGACCTCGCTTTTTATTAAATCAATACATAAATAAAGAACACATATCAATATAATCATTAATTTTTCATCATTTTTTTATTCGTCCAATCATCCTCAACCCACAGCGCACCCCACTCGCCCTCCCGGCTCTCCCGCGACCCCCCCCAACCACCCACCACCCCCCAACCTTCGGGGCCCTCTGCCTCTATGGCGGCCACTATTCGCGCAAGATAATACTCTGCACTCTCCTTTAGAGGTTCATGTAGCCACCTGAGCCAGCCCAACTTCATAGCTGACACAACACACGACGACTCCACGTCTCTTCTCACCAATACTAACAGCTAATGGCTCCGCTCTAACAACGCTGACAAGCGCAGAAACAAACCAGTAACAGATGAGCCTCGCCGCGCCCAGCACCCAATCATAGTGTCTTGTCTTCGACTTCGAAACAACTGAAAGCACACGGACTATACATTCCCGAGTACAACATTATTCATGGTGGTGCATCCATATATGAGTGATTGTTGTGTATTTTTCCTGTTAATATGAGTCTGTTGTAATGACCAAAGAGAAAGTACAACAGTCCAGTTGTAAAGATCAACAAACTCATCTATTCGTCAGTGTGAACAAACCACCCAAAAAACAACCACACAAACCCACTGACTGTCAACACAAAAAATCCCAGCAAACCCGTGGTGTGTGTCGTGTGTGTGTGAGTCGTGTGGTGTGGCTGAGTCGTGTTGAGCTCACGTGTGTGTGTGTCGTGTGTTGTTGTGTGCTGCGTGTCGTGCTGTGTGGCTACGCACACACCACCACCCCCCTCAAACTTTGCGATGCTGTGTGTAGTGTGTGCGTCCGGCCGCAGACGCGGGACGCCCCCCCCTCTCCAAACTCTGTGTGTTGTGGAGAAAAACCCCACTGTGTGTGTAGTGACTGTGTGTGCTGGATGTGCCTGCCTAGATGTGTTGCTGCCATG